ATCTCTCGTGAATTTGTTTCGTAGCTCAAAATGTGCGATATCCTCCAGCAAACAGTTCCGTATCTTTCAAGAAGACACGAACTTTCTTTGCCAAATCCAATAGGTATTACCTCCAATGCTACTGTTGTCAATCGCTAAATCAAACTTCGAAAGCCAAAATCTTCACTATACAAAAACTTGCTTCCCAAAACTACAACACAATCATAAGTACACCCAAAAGTGCACACATGCTCACCCATAGCCACCCATATATCTCAATCCTCAAGCTGGTCGCAGCATTCGGCGCAATCTTATCTACGCTCCCTGTATTCCCAGCAGCCGTTGCACTACAGCTGGCAGTTCCGCACGCAAAACCATTTATACAGCATCCGCCACCAAGGCTAGCATCGCATGTATTCAGTCCACTTGGACAACTTCCACCACTGTAACTTGTTCCAGCAGACGCGACACCAGTGATTAGCGCAGTAGTCACATAAGAAGAACCTCCCGTGGATGTGCCAACAGGGACCAGCACTGTAACGCCGTTTGAGACGATTGTAGAAGAGGTAGCGGCGGCAGGGCAGTCGGAGGTAGAGCAGTCACGGCCGATTCGACAACAGCCCGGACGGTAGTAGGCGGAGCAAAAGTAGAAGCTTGAGGGACAGACTGCTATCAGACTCGTCCCGGTGGTGAGAGTTGAGGGGGTTGTGGCGGCGTTGCTATCGCCGCTCCCGGTGGGTCGGACGGGCGCAATGAGTCCCGTGGTGATAGTTGATGTCGGCGAGGCTGTATTGGAGGCTGGAGAGGAAGATGAGCTGCTGGGCGTAATACATCCCGAAGCACCACAATCGGTTCCATCTCGACAGCAGCCGCCTCCGAGGGAAGTGGCGCAGCTATGCCAATTTGTGAGGCAACTTGTTTCCGTTACGACTGGGAGAGTGGTTGTCACGGTGGATGTTCCGGCGATGGATTTGCCTAGATTTATGTTAGAGCTCCAAGATAGTGAAACGATTGCCACAGTGCTTACATCCAACACCATCGCAATCAAAATTCGGTATGCAGCATCCTCCATTTGTACTGCCAGGACAACTCTTATACCCAGCACTAGTATCGCATGCCGCCACTTCTCTTGTGCATTTTGCGCCTGCAGGACAACATCCCACGTTCCCTATCCCGTTATCTGCTACCGAGACACAAGTTTCTCCTGTTGCGCAGCAGCTGTATGGGTGATTTATCGAGGAACAGTTATTTGTTCCAGACGGACATTGGAAGTCTCGCGCGAACAGAGCTCTCGGTGAGAGTCCGAAAGTGGACTGATCTAAACCATTCGAGTGAAGTAGTAAAGGTGGTAGAAGTTCTCCTTCCAGTGTATTGTTTGCAGGTATTGATCTTGTCCACAATTTCTCGTCCCGCCTGCTCGGCGAATGTATGTTGTGTTCTGGCTCGTCGAATTGCCAATAATCCAAAAAGAACATCTCGCCTTCGTCTTCGCTCATTTTCCGGACTCCGATTGGTTTCCGCGATGCAGCCAGCTGCTCTCGTGCCGATAACCCCCTCCGGACAAGGGACTCATCTTGTGGGAAGTATTTGGCATGCGCCGGGAGGTTGTGAGGCCAGTCTGCTTCTGCTGAAGTAATGGCGGGTAGTGTCGTCGCTATGAGGAGGAGTAAGGCGGGTGGGAGTGAGAGGAGCCGGAGATGACGCATGCCTGTACAAGGAGAGAAAAGATGCTGTAGGGTCAGTGGGTACAAAGATGAGCCAAAAACATGGACCTCAAGTAAAGACGGGCTGAAGATAGCAGAGCAAAGACTAGCCCAGATGCATCATGTCGCTGGGGGTGTGGGACACGACATAATTATGTTATCGGGAAGGCTGGGTATGTACTATGTAGTCAGAATGAGGAGGCTGGTGTGACGTCCACCTCTCCCTGCATACTTGGATGTTATGTTTCATCCTTGCGAATAATGCAGTGCTGGCTTGTCTCAACGTGGATACAATGGTCAATGGGTCTGTAGGTAATTACCGCCCGCGACGTGGTGGAGAAGGATGCTGTGGTTTCAATGGCCAAGAGAAGATCACATGTTCACGCGAACTCAACGCCCAGCGCGTCTCCAAATTCTTTCAACACTGACCAGCAACAAACAATGAATGATTTTGGCATTAACGAAGCATCTCTCTCCATGGAAGATCATCTCCTTCCGTCGTAAAAACACTGCGCGGGCGCTAAAAATGAACCCTCTCAAACGCACATCATCGACGGACAGAGACGTCTCTCCGCCTGCTTTGAAGCGCAAACCACTGCCATCGACTACGACTCGTAGGTACGGCGAGACTCGTTATTGATACGCTTGTTGACTTGGCATAGAAAAGGCCGTTTCCAATTTTTTCAAGCCTGCCTCGCAAAAGGAACCAGACAAGATAACATGGCGAGTCGTGAACGACAGCTTGCTTGTTGGTAAATATAACGCAACATCGATAGAGAGCAAAGGAACATCGGAAGAGAAGAAGAAGATAGCCGCTTTCGACTTCGTAATCATGTCTTTACTAGCTCAAAGGGAAGTGGCTTCTGACTCCTACAGGACTCAACTCTCATCACAACGCAGTCCGGAAACACGTTCTCCCGTAATGGAAGCGATTGGAAGTGGTGGCACACCAGCGTGCCAGGTACTCTCAAACGACTCCATAGCGAAGGATATCTGGTCGCAATCGTCAGCAACCAGAGTGGTATCAGCCTCAAACCAAATCCGAAGTCATTGAAAAGCGACATGAAGCGTCTATCCGACTTCAAGCAGAAAGCCAATGCTGTGTTCAATCAGCTAAATTTACCCATCAGCCTATATGCTGCAACTGCGAAAGATCAATATCGAAAACCAAGACCAGGAATGTGGAATGCATTGCTAGAAGACTTCTCGTTGACATCGGACGCTATTGACCACGTTGCTTCCATCTTCGTCGGTGATGCTGCCGGAAGAGAGGCTGTTGCTGGCCGCAAGAAAGATTTCTCCAGTAGCGATAGGTGAGCAGTAGAGCAGGCGGATCTGGGCAAATTTCTGACCAGACTAGAGATCTGGCGGCCAATGTTGGCATATCTTTCAAGACACCCGAGGAGTTCTTCCTTGCTGAAGCACCAGCACCATTCGTGCGAGACTTTGATCCCGTCCAATTTCTTGCCCAGCAGGTCATCTCTAGTAAGAGCTTCCCAAGACATCATTGTCTGCTTACTAAAAGTTCTAGCGCCACCAACCGTTTTCGCAAAAGCCCACGATGTCGAAATGGTCATTTACTGTGGAAGTCCAGGTTGCGGTAAATCTACATTCTTCTGGAAACACCTCAAGCCTTTAGGATATGAACGTGTCAACCAGGATATTCTCAAGTCACGCGACAGATGCATCAAAGTTGCATCTGATCATTTGGCGAATGGCAATTCTGTTCTTATAGGTAATGGTCGGGAGAAGACGGGATTATATGTATCACAAGCTAATACCAACCAGACAACACAAACGCGAGTCGCGAAGCCCGCGCTCACTGGACCAAGCTCGCCACCAAATACAAAGTCCCAATACGCTGCATCTACTTCACTGCTAGCGACAAAATTTGTCGGCATAACGATACTGTTCGAGCTCTGAATGCAGCTGTCTTCAACCAAGAGCTGGGTAAGACGTTAAATCCTGAGGATCGAACTATTCTTCCACCGGTCGCATTCACGAGTTACAGAGGACGGTTCGAAGAGCCGAAGCTGGAGGAGGGATTCACAGAAATCGTGAAGGTAGACTTTGAGGTCAGTGTGATTATGATGCCGTCATTGGGCTGTATGCTGATCATTCATAGTTTGACGGTACTGAAGAGCAAAGAGCAGTTTGGTCCAAGTATTGGATATGATGGAATTATGCCATGGACTGGGTACTGGTTAGATGGAAGATTTTAAGGCGTGCACAATTAATGATGGCTCTCTCTTCCATTCAAGCATCCGCACCGATATAAACCACAGGATCGTTGCGTCTGCTTAATGGCTGGTGCGACAACTGGGACACAAACGCAGAGACTGCTACCTTCCTTTGCTGAACACCTGTATGTGCCATCTTGTTCTCAGACCTTGCGCGACTCGATCTGGCGATTTCCCTACACAGACGCTCAAGATTGATACCCCATCTTCCCGTCCTTATGCGAAAGAAGACTCAGCCTTGCCACGACTTGGAGTCTAAATTTCCTTTCGATGTTGTCGATTCACAGCGGCACACCCTATAGACGAAGAATCACCACGTCCACGCGTACGGCATCTACAAATAGCTCTCTGGCTTCGAAACAGTCACTGAGATACTAACCCTGCTCATCACTATCCTATCCCTCCTCTATTGTGTTTCCGCCTCCAACGAGTTCGGCTTCCATCGGCGCCCATCCCAGGCTGTTTCTTTGGTATGTCTGCTCTCCTGTGTTGGTTATCATGCGCACATGAGGAAACACTATTGTTGCTATATCGGGCGGGAAGAAACCATCGAGGTGAGTTCCTGCACGCACGTCAGGTTGTCCGCAACGTTCGGGCATGATCTAAGCACTCTAGATACTCAACTGGGATCGCTCGTAGACTCATCAGGCAGTATGTGAGACAATCATATACTTGACGGAATTTGCTGGGCACCACAATGGCATCGTCCTCACTTTGTGTATTTGAGGTCATAATCGTGGTTGTTTCTCCTCACTCAAACGTATTCTGCGAAGGTAGAGAGGTTTTTTAAAGACTATATCCTTCGATCAACCTTGGACTGATAACCTCGAAGAACCCCATCCGGATAAAACGATATGATAGAATTATTTTGGTATTTATTCATATTCATTTCGCAAGCAACAGCAAGTAAATCTCATTAAGGAGTTGCAGAATACATCATTGAATAGTCACCGAAGGTGGTTGCGACATCGGCTACCACCGGCAAATGGTCCTCACCTTAATTCTCCCCACCTTCCCTACTCCATCACACTAGCATTGCGACCTGTACACGCTGACCGAAAATTTCGATCGGTGTCCAGGTGAGATGGCCGAGCGGTCTAAGGCGCTAGACTCAAGCATACTTCTGAGCGTAGCTCGGGTGTCTTCTAGTATCGAAAGATGCGGGGGTTCGAATCCCCCTCTCATCATATGTTCTTTTTGTCCATGGACGGTGAGTGCGGAATGGTAATCTTATTGAGGTTTGTACTTCCATTTGTGACGAGGTAAAGTCAGGTTTTTCTCAAGTTCGAGGATCTATTCAACTAAATTACCCTCCAGAGGTGCTTGACAATCCTGCAAGATCTTTAACTTCAAAACTGATATTCTTCAAAAATTGTCTTTGTTTCGCTCATCCTGGCTGAGCTCACGAAGACACTCGTCGTCCCTCATTTCATTATCAGTCTTAAGACTTAAGTACCTTCTTGCTTCTGAGTCGGGGTCATCGATTGTCAAAAACCAAACAATCCTATTAGTTGTGTACGTCATGCGGACGGAAATTACGAGTTCAGTATATCCACGAACGGGCACATTGTGATTCGCGGAAGAATGAATGTCCAATACGTCGCCCAACGTTCTCACTTGAAGATATGGCTGCTTTCCATGTAAGCCATGGAGTATAGGCTCAACGGCGATGGTGAAGTCCTGATCTTGCCAACGATGTCGTCGCTCATGCCGCTCAATGAGAAGTTCGCCAGTTGATCTTTGTGCTGTCACCATGAGCAGCTGCTGCCCATAGTTCAATTTCCATGCTCCGGCTGGAGTGGCCTCTTTCACGCTGCACGTCCGGGATTTCCAAAGAATCGCGATTCCCGAAGGCAATGACCATCTGAACCGAGTTCGAGCGATCGTGAGCGTTGCCCATTTGAATTCGTGCACGGCGTCCTTCTGCACAAGATCATACTGGCCTTCAAATTCGTATAGAGTGTCTTCACAGGCGTCTGTTTGAAGATAATCAAATCGCGGCCTTCGACGAACATACATAGCCAACATCTCACGGCTATCAGAGTATCCGCACTTTAAAACAACCAAAAGCCTCTCATCCTGTCTTCTCGCAGAGCCCTGATATTCGAGGATATTTGTCATGCTGCTTTGGTCTCTTTCGTGAAATAGCATCGAGGAAGACGCATCAGAGGGAGATGCATCGAGAATTTCGTTGGGAACAGCTCGGGCTAAAGCAGTCATGGTCAAGCCTCGATTAGTCAAAACAAAGGTATCATCGCACGCTAACGGCCAACTATTGATAGCTCGGTTGCCTCGATTGAGGTGCGGATCACAATGGCGAGGTAAAAATTCCGCTGGAGAGGAGGCCAGAAGGTGCCCCGAACCGTGATACGAGGCGCCGTGAGCAAGAATGGAATGATCTACTCGGTCCCATGTCTTGATAATTTCTTCTTGCAGCCTTTTGAATGCTTTTGAACCTTCGCCGTAGAGCAGAGGCATGTTGACATCGAAAAGTCCCAGAAGTGAGTAGGCAATATCTTCCTCTCTTGTCGTATTTCTCGTAGAAGCCCAAGACATGCGTGTGGCCACAGACGTATTCCAGAGCTCTTCGCGATCGACAAGAACACTTTGTTTGATGTGAGTGATATTCGCAAGCGCTTTCGACAAGGCTGTACGGGACGCGATAGCGTTCCATTCCGAGTCGTAGAAGGTTACCGACCGAGGCGCGACGAGTTCTTGCAAAGTCCATCCCCTCTTGAACCACCGGCAATCTCTCAGTCTTCGAGTCATTGGCGAGCCAGTTCCTGGAGCCAAGTCTGACAGGTACGCATAACAGACATGCGCGTTGTAATAATAGCGATACATCGAGTTAATGCTTTCCGATAATTCGGCACTGCTCCTTTTGTCGATACAGCAGGTATCCACCCATGCGTATTTCAGCCCGTCAGCCACAGCCTGACGGCATGTTTTGCGAATTTTATCGTATCCCTTTTTCGACTTGGCTGCCTCGAGATGTATTTCGTCAAAAGACACTTCTTCATCTTCCCATGTGTGGGAAAGAATAGCGTATTGCCGTTTGATTCGTCGATCGTCCAAGAATTCCTCCAGCTTCAAGGTTTCGGCGTTAAGGAGCCACATCTCGGGCGCCCAAAATATGCTCAAACAGATTGACGATTTGCGATCGGCTGATGCCAGTGATTTCGAGAACGTTGAACACTAATGCGTAAAGTAAAGGGGAGGTAGACGCCGAGCGTTCAAGGTGAAGAGTGCGAATGGACTTTCACTTACCTGCAGAGGTGGGCTGAACCGGATGATGATGCAAGCCACCGACGTGATTGAATTGCTGCAGCCTATCAATCAAATTCTGCCTCGCATGAATGTTGGAAGACACGCAAGCATCTCCATTGACGACTGTAAATATGTGCAAGGCGGCTCATTCAATGCAGACACCATTCGCAAGTTGTCATATTCAATCGCGACCCAAGTCAAGATCCAAGATCGATCCAGGATAGCAGCCACTTCTCCTGAACAAAGTGAGTGACCTAAGGCGCAGCGATGTAAACTCAAGTATTCAACATACAGAGACGAGTCGACGGCAGTAGCGGTGTTCCAAGGCTGCAACATGACCGAAGAAAGCCCGCCATCCACTCGAAGTCGGCCTCTTGGTTAGATACCAGCTTGATGTACGAGAGGAACTCCGGTAGGACCTCCGCATGCCATAAACCTCAATCCTATATCTTAGAGCTGCAAATCATGTGTAAATAACAACGAAGGTCGAACCAGGAGTGAAGGGGGTAGTGGAAGAAGTGTAGATAAGGCTTCCCACGAGTCCTGAATCTTATCTGGCTCGAACGTCGCACGACGGCTATGCTACGCCGGCCCACGAAACAGACATGCGAAATGATGTTACATGCTCAATCCCATATCCGCGTCGCACAAAGAGGGCCTAGACACGCCAAAACATCACCAAACCATATCATGCCTCACCAGCCTTGACAAGAACTCACCCAAATCCTATGCTGCCTAACCAGACCCAATTCCTTTCCTATCCATTGTTGGTGAACGGCTTCTCTGTGTAGCAGTACTCGGTCGTCTGCTTCCTGATTTTCCCTCTTGCGCTTCTCTTTCGAGAAAGTCACTCCACAGCTCGGCAAGTGACTCTTTACTCGTCGGTGTGCTCGCACTATTATCAAGCTGTGTGCCTAGACTCGGCGTGGAAGGTGTTTTCCGGAAGGATGAGGAGGGTAGACGAAGGTTCGAAGTGAGTGTAGAGGATGTAGGAGCGCCGGGCCGGGCGAGGCCAGCTTGTTCCTTTTGTTCTGCTTATCATCAGTACTCTGATCATATTGCTTGCGAGTCGGTGTTAAGAGCTCACCATCTGACCAACTCAGCAGCGCCGAGATGAGTTGCAGCACCTGAAATTTCTTTGGATCCGCCCGATCCATCGAGATAAATTGCAAAAAGTGGTTCGTCACCAACTGCCTGTCAACCATATCCTCTGGTTTTCTCTGTTTCAAAAACCTCAATGCCTTGGTGAGATGATCATTTAGTATCACTGCTTCATGCTTCAATTTGCCAATTAGCAGACTCTTCTCTTTGACCTCCTTTTCAAAAGATAGGGCGCGCGTGAGCTCCTTCTGAGCAGCCTGAAGCTCGGCTTGAGCGGTTGAGGACGTCTCTTCAGCGGACTGAAGCTGTTTTCGGAGGGATTCGAGTTGGGACTGGGAATTTTCGACGAGTTCGCGGAGTTCTTTCTTTCGTGCTAGAAAATGTTAGTCCCACCTTTTTGAACGAGTCTTTGTCGGTACGAACCATCTTGTATGTCCCTGAGAGCACGCTGCAGCCCGTCCACAGCTTGACTTTGGGTATCCCGCTCAGCAGAAGCCCTTTCATAGCTCTCCCGTGAATTATTCAACTGCTCCTCCAACTCTGAAACCTTCTCACTGAGATTCTCCCTCAGCGATCGCTCTTCCATAGCCAGAACTTCCCAGTCTTGCATGGCCTGTTTCGCCGTCTCGAACTCTTCCTTTGCAAACGCCTCTCGTTTTATAAGCTCATCCCGCTCTTTCAACCAGTTTTGTTGCGAAAGGTTCGATCTCGCACGAAGCGTCTCCACTTCTCGTGATTGCTGTTCATGTTCTGTCTTCAGCCTTTCGTGGTCTGCTCGTAACGACTCGTTCGCTTCTCGCGCCGTCCGATTTTGTTCTTCTAGATCTTCAATGTGAGAATTGGCTTGCGCGACTTCTTCCTGTAACTATGTCAGATACACTCTCTCTATGTCCCAATATGTTTGACACGTACAGCGTATGCTTTCAATCTCTCGCCTAATTGTGTCCTAATCGTAGTCACCCTGGCAAAGAGCTCTTGATATTGTGTCTCCGCCTGCTCTTTCCCTGTTTGTGTTTCTTCGAGTTGCTCTTGTAGACCAGTAATTTCCTCGTCGTGTTTATTTCGTACCGCCTCCAGCGATTGTCGCAGTTCCGATACCTCAGCTCTTAAAGCATCTCTTTCTTGAGCCAGCGCGTGTAATCTCTCGGACGTATCTGCAGAGTTGTCCATTTTTACTCCATTGGTCTTGACAGGCGATTCTGTCGTGGATGGAGGCGTGGACTTGGATATCGGCGGGATAGGTGCTTTGGTTTCGTGAGAATCGTTCTCATCGTCTTCGACATCGGATGTAGGCTCTACAGGCTGTGAATGATTAGCATATATAAATCACGGGTAGACAAAGCAACCCGGGAATTGCGGTACATCGAGAAGCAGCGACGGCTCTTCGACCGGCAGCAGAGAGAAGACATACACTACCAACCACATCCTCTCCCTTCTCCTCCACCTCCTTCACTGCATCGCCCTCATCACTAACATTCCCGTTCGCACTCTTCACGCCCACACCCTCCCCATTCCCATTCCCATTCACTCCCTCCGTCTCCACCTTCGCAGCAGCCCCCTTCTTCTTCCTATTCTTCTTCTTACTCTTACTCGACGCATCCGCCCCAGGTCCCGACATGTTCTCTCCCAATCCACGGAAATTGGCGTTCGTGTACGAGTACTGCGGGAGCTTGCGGCCAAGCCCGAGTGAAGAAATGGTGAACCACGCTCAATCGTAAAAGAGAGGGAGCAGATGTTCAATCGCAATCACGCTTCGGAGATGATGTCGCGGTCCAGAATACTCCGAAGGTGGAAGATGCGAGCCGCAGTCTGGGAACAA